CCAATCTGGCACGGCGTGGAAAATTGTGCTATTTCCACCCTCTGTCACGCGTACACCAGGTTCCCCTGGACTACTAGAATAAGCAATAGGTTCTCATAAAGACGAAATGACATACGCAGGTGTGACATAAAGGTCGTTCTTTGATACGTAGGCGACCGCATTGCTTGTCGGTGCCCAAGTGGCATATGAAATCACGGGAGGATTACTAGGATGGGCAAGAGGCTGAGTACTGCCCTTCTCAAGATCGTGAATATAATAATTGCCATATGACGAATGGCGCCAGCCCTAATGCAGCCGATGAGCAAACCAGAAATTCATCACAATAAAGTAGTGCCAACCTTCACACGATCGACCTGGAAGAGTACAAATTTCGCATCTGGGGATAGTTTCCAGTCGTCCCAGTAGAGTGGTTGACCATGTTCCTATGAAGAGAGGGTCAGCGCCGGTACAGGGGCCACAAAGCCAACGTACGTCTCTAACAGAGGATCTTTCGACCAAAGTTTTTGTCTTGTTGGTCTTCAGATCGACGAGCAAAATCACGCCAGACTCGTCCACAGAGAATACACCATCGCCAGCTACAAATACCCGTCAGACATGCATTCAACCCTCAAACAGTAGTGCACACCCTCTCGGACCCAGTTGATAGTTTTGGTGTCAGCCCAAAATGTGCCATTGAATACATGGTCCATCTCGATATGTTTTCTGCCTTTTATTCTGAACTTGGCTCCGTTGTAGGAACGAGCGGCAACGATGCCAATAAGGATTGCGCATATTACAACTGCACCTAATGCCCAAAGGAACCACCTGAGAGCCTTTGGTCGCTGTATGAGGCTTAGCAAACTGTGCACAGCAAGACCAAATGTCGTGGAAACGTACACTGTCCTTCCTATCCTGGTTCAAGTAGCTCTCTACTTCCTCGTCAAATGCTGCTGTAATATTCTTGGGTTCATCTCCCATATCCTCATCATCTGAGCTCGATGAGTCGCCCTCTCTCATTCGATAGGAAGATGGGTTCGCGGCTATATATGACGCCGAGGCTGCTGCATGATGGCCAATGACAGTCGTGTCCTCCGCTTGCGAGAGTGGTTCATAACGAGTGGTACTCATTATGGAGATTTTTATTTGGGATTTAACCCCCCGGTCGTGGTGGTGTACAAGGTTGTTTAGCCTCGTCTACACAGCATCTCTCCTCTGAGAATGCGGCCACTTCATATTTTCTCAGGAGTCGGCGAGTAACCTGTTTAGGGCTATCCAGAGCTATAACTGCTTATTCTGAATACCTTGATAGCTTGCTTTAGTCCATCTGTGGAGGGCATTATTCGCCTGCTGTGGGGTGCGTTCTTCTCTTCGACCTGCTTACACACTTCGAGTCCTAGTGGGAGCCTTAGAAACCTATGGAGGGAAGATTGCAAATAATGTGAACGATCTTCGACATGTTACTTGGTTCTTCGCTGCGGCTCAAGACACTGATTGGATTGCCACTTTGGCCTCTCACTCCTTGATTGTTCGTCCCCGAATATTGCTCTCAACCCAGTTTTAATGGCACATTTTTCATGTTATATAAGGTATACGATCAAACATGGATATTGGAATGCACCTATCAAAGGTTTCGAACCATGGAAAGGAGGCTTCCGTTACCTTATGGTACGGTCTCCCTCACTATGCGCCTGTAGCACCGTGGTTCGGGGCTAGTCCAACTGACTTCTGATAGACTTCTCGAATCCGGGGGTGGCAAATGAACCAACCGACTCTGACTTTGAGGTGGAAATCGAACTTACACTAACAGAGGATTGCGGGGTACTTGTGCAAGACTTGACATTGGTCGAGAATACTCCAGGACTCCATTCGTGCGTCCATAAATACTCAGTTCCTTCCTAAGCTAAAATACGACTAGCTTGCTGGAGCACCTGTCGGAACCGACATCAAAAGGAGAACTTCCTGTCACCAGTCTAGCTCTGATCGAACAAGTTGATATGCAGGCCACTTGTTATACGACATTCCATCCCGGAGGTTCCATAAACAACTCATTGTTTCGTGTCAAGAGGCATTGAATTCCAATTGGACATACAAGGGCAACTAAATACCAATGATGACGAGAATAGGCATGAATTGCTCCATGAAGGGTGATAATGGAGGTGCTTGCAGAGATGAATACAGAGTCATTAAAATACGTCTTTCCTGTACGAGTAACTTTGGAAACTTTGCCTATCCATTTTTGGACTTCCACGAGGTGGAAGGACCGGCGCGTGAATTCGCTGTATTATCTTTCGTGACTCCTAAACGATCAAAAATGGTCTGTGGGGACGTGACCTGTTCAGGTCGCGTCTTAGATTTCACCCCATGTATTCGGTCCATGAGCGGTACTCTCGAAGCAGTCGGGTTCGAGGCCTGCTGTGATTGGTGCCTTTGATTTGGATCACCACCCTCACTTCGAGAGTTCAATTTCACTATCGAGGACGAGCCAGCACGAGACCTGATGGAAAGTTCTGATGGCTTCTGGGTGAGCGGTTGAGTGGTTTGAGGAATAGATCGGGCTGGTTGGCCACCTAAGCGCAAGTTAAGGCCATCAAATCTGGCCGTAATGGAAATCTTGCCATGTTGAATATTTGGCCGTGGTAAGGCTTCCACAGGGCTCGCCATCACGGCACCAGCAGAGGGAGGACCATTTTCGAGCTGCAATTTTCTCGAAGCTGCTCCACGAATAACTAGTGAATTTGTTTGGGTAGGTGCGGTGGATGGAACAACACTTCCGGGACCCGTACCAGCCTGTACAACTGGGAGCACTCTCTCTTGTACAGGAGGGGATAGATGAGGTTGTGAAATAGTTCGCTGAGAATCGTTTATCCGCAAAATCACATGGAGCGGGTCTGTGCGAAGCCTCTTTGCAGGCTTGTCTTGTTCGGTTGATGGCAGGGGTTGGTGCGGCTCTTCAACCTCCTTCCTGAATCTTTTTCGGGAGATCGGTCGTGAAGGTGGAGTAGATGTAATTGCTGCCGGTTGTCCTGGCCCCTGGATATTGATCGCAATTCCTTGGTTCTGTGGAGGGTGGGACAATGCCTC